GTTTCTTAAAATAGGACAAACCCAGTCCCTACAGGGCTGGAGAGATGTGTTGAAGTTCTTAGTATTTGTCAGCATGGGAGCGGCAAATTTTTGCACAAAGTTCTACTTATGTATGTCATCCATGTATGATTATATCATTACCAATGCCAGTTACATCAAATAAGAAAGTAAGAAATTGATAAAAGCTAAAATTACGGTAGAAAAAATAAAAATACGGTCTGGAATATCTATTCAAAGGCAAGTCTAACCTCATGGTATGACTTTATCTTCACTGCAGACATGTAAATATCAAGATATCAAGAACAATAAAAATAATTCTTTGGTAGAATAAAAAATAGTTCAAAGTATCAATTAATTTTAAAATCTATTTACATAGCGCTGACAGTGTTTTTCTCTAGGCATTGGTGTCTAATTTTCATGAAATTTGTTTATCATTAAATATCCAATGCAATACAACCGTATCCTTCTATTAAATATCCAAGGGGCATATGCTTGACTGACAATGTATGGCACACAGCATCTAGTTCTCTTTGTTCACTCTTGCAAAGTTTTTTTTACTTAGTTATTTTAATTTACTAACTTTCATAGATAGCTGCCTAAATTGCATATGAAGCAAATTTATGCTTCCTTTTTCTCGCTGGTAGTTGCATTTAAGGTTTAAAATTATTGGTCTCAGTTCCTGGTGACTAAGTGACCATTTTTTATGCATAATGTGTAATACTTTATACACTGATGTACATTACAAATGTCAGATACAAAATACTTAGAACACTAAGAAATACATTAAATGAAGAGCAAGGGGGCTAAATAACTGCCAAGTTTCGATTGGGATTTTGCGACTGGGCAACACGTATTGGTCAGCAACGGGGTACCATGCTCAGAAAAACAGGCTTTGTTTTCATCAAAACTTTTCCATTTCTGCTTGTGTGGGCGCTGGCACTTCTGGTTTCAGAGTGGGACTTTCGGTGATGACTTCCAAGTTCCCTTATGGAGATTCTCTATTGTTTCGTCAAGGTTAGCTTTCATTTTCTAAGCAATTGTTTGATTTCCAGAGTTATTGCACACTCAAGGTTTACATAAATTTGTTGGGAGCATATCTGGTGTTGTATCCATGAATACTGCTTGCATAATGAAAATGATTTTGGAATGGATCCCCTTAGGCAGGCCTTTGTGCCATAGATGCAAAAACTTTAAAGCATTGTGTCGATACACATTTGTTTTTAGAATGTCTAGAATGTTTAGCAGATGGAGGGTGCTATCTGTTTGTTTGTGCAATGTACCAATCACAGTGGGGCAAAACGTTCTCATGTTTGTTCGCAAGTGATCGATCAATAATTGCTGAAGAAATGCGCAGGTGAAATACATCTTCTCCCCTTCTTTGTTAATGAGTGTTTAGTTGGCAGTGTGGTTGTCACTTGGGATTGAGATTGACAGAGTATATTCCATGGTTAATCACAATTATTCTCTTGAGGGAAATGGTAAGTGAGTTGGTACAACTCTTGTATCTCAAGGGTCTTAACAAGTTATGTAAAATACCATCTTTCTTTCGTTGTATTGTGAAACCCTTAATACCTGTAAATACCTGGGGAGTAACTGAGTTGATAAAGGATTATGGGAAGACAGTATTGAAAGGAAAAATAGCAATTTGAAAATCCCGAAAGGTTTCCCTCAAAAACTAACAGAACTCCCTCTAAAAGTCTTTTGTAAGTAAATAGTAATTGAAATAAAATATTCTGATGGATGTGGTCTTTTGGCTGGGTTTACTGAATTTGTGAGGAAACTGAATCCTTGAATTGCCACATTGGTTTACATCAGTAGCGTTCTTATCAACCTTCAGTAAAATTTCGCCTAAAAGAAGCTTGGAAAATTTGACTTCAGATGATTTGAGGTCATTTAAGCTATGTTTCCATGCGTCATGACTGCCTAACTGCTCTACCACCTCTTCCGTGAGTGGTATATTCAGTGCCTAAGAAGCATCCTTTGGCACATGTAAATTTATTGAATTTTGGACTAAAAACTGTAATTGAAATTAGAAGTTTTCCGATAGGAGCTGTCAAAGAAGTACACATTGTTCGCACAAAATGCTTTCAAGTTGGAATCCACTGTTCTGTAAACAGTTACAAATGTAGACATGATGGTAAGAATGCCTTCGTTCATTCAGTAATCTTCTCTAAGTCTGGCCGATAACACTTGATGACAATTCTTTTCTTATATTTTCCCTGCATTGTAATTTTGAAGATATCTTTTCCCTGCCCATTTTTTTTGTATGGAGCGTGATTGTATTATTATTAATAGAGTTACCCTTATAAAGTTATGAAGATCCTCATCACTATCCACAGCTCATGTAATGCTTGCCAATCAAGCGAAGTATTTTCAACTAAGGGGTTATTTGAAATGTGCAGTAGTACATCACCATAGAATAATGTATTTTTGTTCTATGCTGCTGTCCAGTTTTTGTTGGACTGTGGACGGTTTGTTCTGACAGGTTTCCAAAATTGGACTTTCCTTAAGTTTGCTCTTGGTGTTGTAATTGACAGGAGAATCTTGATTAAAGTAATAAAATATACAGGGCATCACAATGCTTGTGTGATCAGGCTGTTGTTAGGATACTATGAAATTTGCACAATAACCAACAACCAATTTCTTAAATGTCTGTGAGTGCATGGAAAAACATTTTCTGCTCTCCCCAAAGTTTATTAACATAGGGAGAAACTTAAAAATTTTACCTTTGCTTTTGCTTATTCACTTTGAACAAGTGTTTCACCTGAGGAGATCACAAAAGTAAGCATTTCTTGCGTTTGCTTCAGGGTATAACCAAGTTAATGAAAATCTGTTGACTCTATACTTGTTGTGTAGCACTGACAAAACAAAGGTTAATTATAAAAGTAAAATGAGGTTGCGTTTGATCAAAAGGATATTCTTAATCAATCATGAAATCATTTTAGACTGTTAAATAAAAAATAAAGCAGTAAGGAAAAAGTTGTTCAAAGGATATAATAAAATAAGAATAAGAATTAAAGAAAAACAATTAGTAACCACTACATTACATGAGTATTAGAATTAAAAAAAAATGGCTTGAGATTGAGGTTACCAATTTCTTGTGGTTTGAGCTTTTTAAAGTAGGAACACTTAAGTTAACCTCTGATTCAGTCCTCTGATCAGTGTGTATGTATCGGAACGTAAACAGTTTCATTTCACATCACTTATGATGATTTGAATGTGTGCAGAGCATGTCAAGTTATAGGAATTAGCTATGACAAAGATGAAAATTCATCTGAAAACCAGAAATACTTCAACAGACTATGGTTCATGATCATATATTGCAAGCACCTGTCAATATTTAGAGGTCTTTCAAAACACACACAAATTTCAAGTCTGGCAACAACCCAAATATTTTATTCACATTATAACCTTGCTTATTTGACAGTAGAAAATCAAAGTCAATAAGAAGTCAACAATAAAAGTTTTGAAACAAAACAAACAGCAGTTTTATTATATACTAATTGGTGCATGCCTGTTCAGCCATCTCTCTGTTACAGAGATAACTGTCAACGGCTTTCCAGCAATCCACAGCAGTTCCTGTTGTGTCAACATCAATGGAAGAAATTGAATATAATTGGTTTAATCTTTTCCATTTAACTGGAACTAGGGTAAGCTTCTTCCCTGCCCTACTTACATTTGGTCCATCTAATTCCTGTAGTAAAAAGAAAAGCCGCACAATATGTATGGCAAAGTTTTTATTGAAGGTGGACCTTAACTGCAGTGAAGGAGGGTATCCTCTGGAGTTTCCTTCTCTGATGGCGTACAGTTAGGTGGTGAATATCTCATCATTAAATATCATTAAGGATACTGGAATATGAGCAGCATTCCGCAGCACTGAACAAACAGATGCAAACGTGTATGTTTAATTAGTTCCATTGGTTTTAATCATATGTGGACAAACTTGGCTTGACATATAAATTTTTCAAGATATTTTTTTGTATATAAACTTGGGCAGTGTTAAATATGGAAATAAACTACCGTCTCTTTTTGGATCATAAATGTATGTATAGAAATAATTGTGTCATCAAGTTTAATGTTATGTTGGTGGAAATTGAGTGACACTTTACTTAGATACTGCACCATAATGGAAGAAATAACCTACAAGAAATTCCACAATAGCAAAACCTGTGGTCACAATCTCAAACTCTCCTAGAAATGTAAGAATCGCTGATATTCCTCTTCTCGATGCAATAATAAATGCTTTTGGGATCCCTTTCTCTCAGGCACACCATGTTGACAAATTTGTGTCTGAATACCGTCCACCACGTATTCTATATACAAGGCTAAAAGGTTAAAAAATTAAGAAATGTTTAAAACAAACGTTTTCGGCTGTTTGTCATCATCAGGGTTAAAAAGATGACCGTCCACACGTACATATATATCTTATGTAATTCCCGATAGGAAAAGTTTTGAGTCATAAAAAATACTTTGTTTGTTCAAACTGGGGCGGAATTGATGGATCATTAGTCCCTCGACGATCCTACGCTTGTGGAATGTTTGTGCTGAGGAGAGAACACGCTAAGTGAAAGAATGTGATGGGTTTTCCCGCAGGTGTCTTGCAGGTTCAGAGGTGTGAGCAGGATTTGAATGCTCCGCAATTCGTACTGCTAAGTTTCTCACAGTCTCGCCAATGTAATCAACGCCACAAGAGCAATCACCTTTGTAAACAACTTTGGATCTGTATGGTGGCCGAGAACTGCCAATAGAAAAATCCGCATTTTTGAAAGAAAATTGTTTTCTTTTTTATTTTGATTTACATTTTTTTTTTCCAATTTATTTTTTTATTTTTAAAATAGAGTGAAAGTAAAATCAATTGAAATAAAAATAAAATAAAATAAAACCAAAGTAAAATAAAATAAAACCAAAGTAAAATAAAATAAAACCAAAGTAAAATAAAATAAAACCAAAGTAAAATAAAATGAAATTATTCGACCCAGCCGAGAGCTGCCAATACCAGCATGCATTGCGTGCATCGTAAAGATCCAAAATGGCGGGAATATAGGGACTGTTCTCCCGGGCTGTTCTCGAAAATGGCGGATAGCAGGGTTTCATCGTGGAAAGAAGACGATCTCCTTAAAGGTGCACTGCAGAAGTATGTCAAACAAGGCCTCAAACGCGAAGAAGTGATCGATTTTTTACGGAGAGACTTTCCTCAATACGCCTGGAGTATCCGAACACTCGACAGACGTTTACGCCATTTCGAAGTTTATTACAGGGATGACACTGTTTCGGTTGAAGATGTTAAAGAGGCTGTTAAAAAGGAATTGGAAGGACCAGGAAAGCTATTGGGATATAGAAGCATGCACAAGAAAATAAGACAAAAATATGACTTGTTAGTTACGCGAGATCAAGTTTACGATGTGATGTCTGATCTTGACCCCGATGGACTTGCTGCTCGCGGAGGCGTTGGAGCTAAGAAGGCAAGGCGAAAGAAAGGAAACTTCTCTTCGAAAGGACCAAACTGGGTCCACTCCCTGGACGGTCATGATAAATTAATGGGTTTCCAAAATTCCACATTTCCGATTGCTATTTATGGCTGCTTAGATACAGCCAGCAGAAAGCTGCTATGGTTGCGAGTTTGGAATAAGAACTGTGACCCGCAATTGATTGGTCGTTGGTACTTGGAGCATATAATGGAGACCAAGGTAATTCCTGCGATGATCAGAATCGACAAAGGTACAGAAACAGGCACCATGGCCACAATTCATGCCTTTCTTCGTAGACATCACACTGACGTTGTGGATCCTGCAGACACAATTTTGTATGGTCCATCAACTTCAAATCAAGTAAGTAAGCTCATCTCTCAAGTGCTGTCTAATTATATTATGTGAGTGTGCCAAATTAGTCAACGAGTCTTTCGGTGACTTTATTTGAGTGCCAGGAAAAGTATTATTGTTGTTTGTTATTTCATCATTCCCTCAGTAACAAGTAATATTTTAATCCACCCTATCATCTGATTTCCGGCAAATGCACATTTCACAAAATGTCATTTAAAAAAACGTTTTCCTCTAGATCGAAAGATGGTGGAAAGAATTATACGAAAGAATGGAAAAATTTTTCAAAAGTCAGTTAAGATGGCTTAAAGATCAAGGGCATTATGACCCACATGATGATATTGACAGGTGAGAATGGGCAAGTCTCCCCCCTCCACCTCCACCCACACGCACACATACACAGGCTATTCATTTCAAGGTTTGTTTTTAAACTCCAAAAGTGACATTGAGTTATTGTTTTAGAATATGTTGCAGTTTTGCTAGGGCATGGCACGTGGGTGATTGAAAGCTCAATCAACATAAACATTATTTTGCCTAAAGTTAATATACATACATTTTTTATAGCAAATTAATTAATTTCTGTGTGAATGCAATAACACATCCCCTCCCCCTAAAGCTTATATATACTCGAGTCAAATAGATATGGTTGAGGGGGCCCAGGAAAAATTTTTGTTAGGGAACCCCCCCCCAAAAAAAAAAAAAAAAAAAAAAAAAAACTTGCTGGCTTATATATTGTAATTGAAACTACCTATACACCAAGGTGTTTGTTACCTTTGCTTATTTTGTTTTCCTACATAGGAAGCTTCTTTCTTTTATTATGGTTCCTGTGGTTCAGAGAGAGCTAGATACATTCAAGGAGATGGTGTGGAATTCTCACAGGATCAGAGCCCAGAAGGACACAGTTTTACCAGATGGGGTCCCAAACCATATTTACAGTTTTCCTCAGAAATATGGGCTTGAAGAATGCGGTAAAAAAATTATAAGGTTTTGTCAAAACTGGTTTTGGGATATTTCTGTTTTATTCAAAGTGAACTATGGCATAGTTATAATGCTTCAACAATCAACCAATGATAATTTATTTGTAGAAATTTCAAGGCATAATTTTATTGCCCAGAAGGAAATCATTTGTTGCTAAAATCTTTGGGCCTGAAAGTCGCATATCTATAAAAACCTAATGTGGTGCTGACACTGCCAGTCACACTAGATGATGAATGCTAACATTGTTTTCTATTGGCAATGTGCAGGTCTTAAAGTAACTGATGATCAACTAAAAGAAGCTGCTGTCCAGTCAGGCATCCTTACTGTTGATGATGACTTTCTCGCCCCTGAGTTCAGAGCAGAGTGTGAACGAATCATTGACACTGACCATTTGAAACCTGCTGATTGCAAGGAAGCATTTCTTTTCCTAAAGAGAAATTTTTCTTTGTAATAACTCCACTGTTTATCCATGGTGTTATGCCCTTGACTCTATTTTTATAGTGAAAGCAGCATGTTTTCTCCCACATCCTCCATTTTGTTACTATGAACTTTGTGCAGCCATAAACAACAAATTCATCTGCCAATGAACTGTACTTTAATCATTGAATTAAACTGAACATTTCTGAACACTGTATGTGCGAACCGCCCAAGGTAATTGCATCAAAAGGGGTGTAACATGCAATACAGTAGAAAAGTCAAAACTTTATTACGTGTAATTGAAGTGAACAGGAACAACATATTAACAATCAATGCTGACACTAATAGAAAAAAAGAAATAAACAGTGTAATTATCACCACTGTAGTTATTTAATTATTTTTAATGCATAATAATATTGCAGATTAAGGGACCCACAACTATCTTTAATTCGAATGATAATGTATCTGAACATGATATCCATAACCTTTGTGGAAATAAACTGGAACGAACAATAACACTGATGGCAATAACAGTAACATCGAAAGGGCAGCAGAAACAAGAAAAACTATGCACCCTACTAATACAAATAATACAAATTTTAACCATCAATCCTCACATGGTGGGTTGAGGAGAAACATTAACAAGAGCAGGTTTTTTGGTGTCCTAAATTGGGGTACATGAAAACATATCTGCTTGAGGGTGAATTCAGCAACAACAAGGTTGGTTAATATCACAATCCTGCAGCCCACTCCTGGAAACAAATTATGACTGCCCCGTAAATTATCATATGTAACCATGGGATTTTATGTGAACTAGCTATTTTGTAAACAGTGTATCAAGTTTTGTCAACAATGTCTCAATGTTCACAATTTTATAGCAGCTTGAGTTGCCCCTTAATTTTCTATTGCTGGTAGGCCAAGCAAGTTACAGAACAAACTACAAGTGTGCTCTTTCACAAATGTTGAAATTGCTACTTTGGAAAGATTTCCAGTACAATACAGGTATTGCTTGTCACCCTCGTCCAGTAAATCTGTAGAAGCAATTTCTGGGTCAAATAAGTCATATCCACTTCCCTGGATGTCAACTAGCATAAGTTTTTTCTTTGATCTCTCATACGTGAAGTGTGTCAAACACTCTGCCTTCTGGGCCATCTCATCTGTAGGATCGACACAGGTTTGGCCAGTGTTGTTTACGTACTTCTTAAACTGGCCAGGGATTAATTCTTCGACTGTAACATACTCCCCCTCGTCTGTTTCTCCATGAAAGATCTTTCTATATCTAAATGCAGTTCCAAAAACCTCGCTTTCCTCCTTGATTTCTGCCTCAAGTTGCGAAGCAAAATTCCTAGCTAGGAGATGCATCTGAACAACCTTGCGGTTGTGTTGCTCGATAGTTTGACCGGTATCCGAGATGCACTTTAAAGCACTTGGTAGATAGTGCTTTATCACCCACGTTGTCGCAACAAATTCTGGATGTTTGGATGTTGCTTTGAATGCTTTACGGAATCCGCCAGTTCCGATTGCCTCTTTATCCTCATAGAACTCGACAGTGGTTGGAACTTTGGACCACGACAAAACTTCCATATCGAATCTGAAAATTCTCACAATAGTAGTGGCGGTATTTCTGTTGATTTTGCCAAGTTTGATCATGTCAGAAATTGATAAACTTCGAGGGTAATACGTACTTTTTGTGCCCGCTGCTTGTGTGGGTAATTTCTGTCTCGAATGCATAAGTTTACTGGGGCTTGACCTTGATTTTGACGGCGGAGGATTAAATTCGGTATAAGTCGAGGACTCTCCAGTTGCGTCCTTCCTCTTTCTCGTGGAATTCTGGGTGCTGTTAACATCGCCTTCATCAGCTGGATCTGGAATGAAGCGGACGTATACAACCTTTAAGTCCGGTATTTGGGCAAGAGTCTTGCACGATGGGCCCTGTTCTCCTGCTAAGATATCACATACGAGATTCTTTCCGATTTTTTGTAGAAAATGCCTCTCACAAGCGCTCTTGATATTACCAATGGTCAATTCCTCCGTTTCGTCGAAGGGAACAAACTCTCTTGGCCCAATCCTTGTATACTTTTGGGCCTTTCCAGAAACTTCTGCTGACAAACGTTGAACTGTCAGTTCATCTTTCCTTCGATGGTCCTTGGGCTGGTTTTTTTTGGTACGCTTTGCTTTAACTTTTTCATTGAGCCTCTTCCATGCATCGGCCATGATGAACTCGAGCGTGTGACAGTAACGCACGCAATGCATGCTGGTAGTGGCAGCTCTCGGCTGGGTCGAATAATTTCATTTTATTTTACTTTGGTTTTATTTTATTTTATTTTTATTTCAATTGATTTTACTTTCACTCTATTTTAAAAATAAAAAAATAAATTGAAAAATAAAAAAATAAATTGAAAAATAAAAAAAATGTAAATCAAAATAAAAAAGAAAACAATTTTCTTTCAAAAATGCGGATTTTTCTATTGGCAGTTCTCGGCCACCAAAGATCTGTGAGTGTTTTTGTCTTTGTTGTTAAAGAGGCTTTTGATTTGCCTTGTTTGCCACAGGATTATAAAGATGAAATTGAAATTAGTAAACTTGTTTAGTTTTTCAATAAACGTCTTACTGAGTTTTTCGTTTTTACCGCAAAAAGGAAGCCTGATGAAAACTTTCTTTCGTTCTTCGAAGAGAAAATTCGGAATTAAGTTGTCATCTTGTGACGAGTCGTTTAGAAAGTTGTTGATTGTATGCGAAATAAAACGTTTCGGATAACCTGCATTGATGAAAGAAGTTTCTAGAGTTTTTATGTCCTTGTCAAAATCCGTCCACCACCTTAAGCTCTTTTTGGCATTGCATTGGTTTTCTACATATTAAGCCAGATAACATGCTTTGACTCTATACCCTGCATTGAATTGAGGCCCAAGCCTTAGATGTTAAACTTCCTGGTGTGTGTTGGCATGAGGTCTTTAGCTTTTCCACTTGCTCACTGCGCACCTCAACTCTTGAGTAAATAGCAACTGCATCTCTGAATTTGACTGCAACAAATGCCAAAGTGTGAAGTTTCACAACTGACCCCTTTGAAAGAGAGTTGATCTTCAGAAGTTCCTCTATCAAAGTGGCAAAATGCCAACAAAAGTACTTTGATTCAAGCCATGTGAATCCATATGAGAATGTAATACACAAACAATGCTTGGCAGAACTGGTTTTCAGCTGCACTCTCTGTTGTAATGCAGGACACAAACCAGACTCACCTCAAGGTAGCAACAACAGTCTCTGATCTTCCAGAAAGTTCCCTTCTGCTTGCAGTCTTGAACTGCCTGAAACGTCAAGTGTGGGAGACTACACAAGGTCTTTCTTTGGTGGTTCAGCGAGAAGCAAAAGAAGTGTTATGTAGAGGCTTCGCCTTGAGTAAATCAACATACTTCCTCAAAAGAGGAACAAATTCTTGTCTCAACTTTTTTTTAGCAATAAATTTAGTAATACGACTTCTTTGTTTGCCCATGGGATCTTTAAGTCTTTTCTTATGCTGTGTTTACATTTGAGCTTCAACCAAGGTAAACATTTACTAAGATCAAGTTACTTAACCTTGGTTAATTCGTCCAGCGTTTATACTGGCTCAAATGACTCAAGTTGATCTGTCAACACTCGAGCCCGGTGCATTATCAGCGCAACATAAAAAATCGAATTGGCGGGAAATTCTAAAAACATGCTCGCTTCAACAAGTAAAGTGATGGCTTTCGTGGCCATTGCTTTTTATTTCTTAATTCTTGACCGACAAACAGAAACATCAAGACTTGATAAGCTGTGGTTGTTACAACATCTCAAGAGGTCGAGGCGAAAACGAATGGTTTTACTTCAAATTGCTTTAAAAAATACAAGACGTGCAAGACGTGCGTGGGTATGGCCACGAAATCAGTTCTGGTTTGAGAGCCTTTTGCAAGGAGATTTCGTTGAAGATTGGTGGAAAGAAAATTTCAGGATATCAAGGCGTACTTTTGAGTACATTGTACGAGTGGTTGGACCGGATTTGGCGAAGAGAGATTGCGCTAATCTATCCCTGTAAACAAGCGAGTGGCAGTAGCGTTATGGCGCCTAGCTACTGGAGACGCGTATAGATCGACTGGGCTGCAATTTGGCATTGGGAGGTGTACAGCTATGCTGATAACGCACAACTTTTGTGAAGCACTTGCCAAACGGGCTACAGAATTTATTAAATTTCCAGAGACTGAGCAAGAGGTGCTACAAAGCATTGGCTTGTTCACAAACAAGTCCCCATTCCCGCATGTGGTAGGAGCAGTTGACGGTAGTCATATTGCATTAAAAACAGTGCCTGTCAACGAACGGATTGAATACTTTAATCGAAAGCAAGATTATTCTATTGTTATCCAAGGTGTCGCTGATGCGTCTTTTAGATTTCTTGATGTAAGTACGGGCTATCCCGGTAGCATTCACGACGCCCGTATTCTCCGTCTGAGCAAACTACAGAGAGAAATTGATCAAGGTACCTGGCTAAACGGGCCTTCAAAGATAATTGGGAGTTCCGAAGTTGGTCCTCTTCTGGTAGGGGACTCGGCGTATCCCTTGTCTGTTTGGCTGATGAAGCCTTTTAAGCAAACACCTACATTAACTGAGAGCCAATTGCGTTTCAATCGTGCCCTCAGCCAAGCCCGAGTAGTTACAGAACAAGCTTTCGGAATTTTGAAAGGTCGTTGGAGGTGTCTCTATAAACCACTGGAGGAAAAAACAAGCAGAGTCCCCACCACTATCATGGCTTGTTGTGTCCTTCAGAATATTTGTATAGATGTTGGAGATCCGAGTGCTATAGACCCCGTTGAGGATGACGATGAAATGGATCAAAGTTCTTGCAATGGAGATGAGCAGTCTGACGCAAGGGGCATTAGAGAAGATATTATGAACTATTTATCATAGTCAAAACATTAAACCAAAGTTACTATTTTTATTGGAATCTTTCGGGTTAAGTTGAAACCACACACGTGATAAATTTACTGAAATCAATGTTTTGAGATTGAAATTGTGTCCCTTTCCATTTGTAATTGAACAACAATTATATAATTCACTTGGGTTTAAAAGTTACAAAAGCTTTCTGATGTTAAAGTTTTTTTACATAAGTTTTTGCTAAAAATCGTCAAAAACAAATAACTTTTGTATTTTAAAAGATGCCTAGGGTTTTATTTGAAATGTGTATAATAATTTCATTTCTCAAAATTGATCAACAGATATTGTAATTTCCAAAATCAGTTTTAAATAATTGCAGAAACAATTGCAATAATTTTTGCCTTCTTTATATTCATCATGTCTGGAATCATTGTCCTGCTACATATATAGTTGTCTTGATCCAACATTTTGTCATGATACATAAAATCAACGTCCTTTAAAATGTTTCCTAGCATCTTCAAAGCATCCATCGAAAACTTTTGTTGTTCTCTTCTGCTTTCCCTCTCAGCTTCTGCCATTCGCTCCACGAACGCCTCATCCCTCTCTTGGGCTCTTTCCAGAAATGACAGCACTGTAGGCTCATCTGCTGCTGCTGCTTTAACCTTCTTTCTGGCTGCTTTCTTTCCGTCTTTTAGACTCTTTGGTGCATTTCTTGGTGCATTCTTTGGAGTACTCTTTGGTGTACTTGCGCACTTTCCTTTTTTGCCTTTGTTCTTTAAAAACAAGGATTTTGCAAAGGCAAGTGGCTCGTCTTCCTCTTAGTCAGAAGTGTATACTTCACCAGATGGGCCTGGTAGATCATCAGGATCATCGGATCCGACAACTTTCCTCTTTAAATTTTGAGCGGAGGCAGCAGCGGCAATCTCTGCATCGAAAATTTCTTTGTCAAGAATGTCCTGATCAATTCCTAGGGTACTCTGTGATTTGATCGGGGGGAACTACTCTCCAACACGTGTTGAGGATTGATGGCTTCTCGCATGCCGAGAATTTCGTCCATGTCCTGAAAATGCTTAGACACAAGCTCAACTCCGCCTTCTGCTTCCTTGTCAGCCTCCTCGTCTCCCCCTTTTCCATAACCAGTGGTACGGAGTTTGCCTTTGGTTGTCTTGTATTTTTTTGTGAGATTGCTCATTTTAGTTTTACATTGTTGCGCCGTCTTGTCGCTTGAAACGTGTTCTCGCCGGCATCTCTCGTGTAGTTGAGTTGCAATAGATTCCCATTCTGGCGAATTGAATGCTTTATAGCGAAGCTTCTCTTCGTTATCACCGAACAACTCGATGAGAATTTTTTCCTCCGTTTCAGTCCATGGACTGTTTTTTTTCTTTGGCGCAGTGCTTGATAACTCTTCACTGGTGGAACTCGCAGGAGAATCCGACCGCAGCGGAGAAGCAGGAGCAAATTGTTGTGCCATCATTTGTACGGGCGAGGACCTCATACCACAATACGGCTGAGGAAATTCAGCCGGTTGGTACGCATGGTATGAGGGGTTATATGGTAGGTAAAAACGTCGTGGATAAGTTGAATATGCATCATCCTCCCTGGTGAGAAAATACATCGACAATAATTACACAACGAAGGATCAAAGTTTCTCTTGCGAAAGTTGAAAATAAGACCAAGCATAAAACTATAATGCCTTCTTTTCTTTTACGTGACGGATTGTTCGCCGTAAGAACCATCACTTCTTTCATCCATGATTGTAACAGGTATTGTGAAACGCTTCGTTGCTGGACGACGTGACAATCACACGATCAGCTCACCGCGGGAAGTAAAATATTACGCGGCCACAAGCGGATATATCTGTCATCTTGACCTCGGTTACCGAGCGTAACCATGCCTTTTGTTCAGCAGGTTCAGAAAGCAATCTAAATATGCAGTGACTGTGTCATCCTGCCAAATGGCACACCATCTGCCCCCACTGTCGCATCAAATACTCTTCACTCAACCCAGCCAAAAGATCACATTCTTCGGAATATTTTATTTCAATCACTATTTACTTATAAAAAAACCTACTAAGAAGTTCTGTTAGTTTTTGAGGGAAACTCGCAAAATTGCCATTTTTCCTTTTAATACGGTCTTCCCACGTAACACAATCCTTTATCAACTCATTAATTATCCAGGTATTGAGAGGTTCAAAATACAACGAAAGAAAGACGGTATTTTACATGAATTATCCAGGCGTTAGGGATGGAAGAGCTGTGCCAACTTACTTACCATTTCCTTCGAGAGAATAATTGTGATTAACCTTAGAATACTCTGTCAATCTCAATTCCAAGTGACAGCCACACTGCCAACGAAACACTGGTGAACAAAGAAGAGCAGAAGCATTTTACATGTGTATCTTCTTAGCAATTATTGATTGCTCACTTTAGAACAACCATGAGGGAGTTTTGCCTCACCGTTATTGATAGATTTCATAACCAAACAGATAGCGCCCTCCATCTGCTCAACATTCTAGACATTCTAACAGTAAAAGTGTAACAAAACAATGATATAAAGGTTTTGCATCTACAGCACAAAAGCCTGCTTAAGTGGATCCCTTCCGAAATCATTTTCAATATGCAGGTAGTATTCATGGATACAACACCAGAAATGCTTCCCAACAAAATTTATGTAAACCTTAATTGTGCAATATTATAACTTTAAATCTTCAATTTCTCTGAGCAACACTCTGAACATTTGCCTTAATATTTACCTTATCATCATTATCGTTATCATGATTACTATTTCTTTAAGTATAGTTCTTTTCTCCATTGTTTTGTTTAATTTTATTTCCTGGCTCTTCATTTGTACTTTTTCTCGGTGTTCTAAGTAATTTGTATTTTAAATTTGTAATGTATGATAGTGTATGAATTATTACGCATCATAAATTAAACAAAATAGTCACTGAGTCGCTAGGAACTGAGACCAACAATTTGAAACCTTAAATACAACTAACAGTCAGAAAAAGGAAACAAAAATTTGCTTCACATGCAATTTAGGCAGCAATCTACGAAAGTTAGTGAATTAAAATAACTAAGTGAAAAAAACTTTGTAAGAGTGAAAAAAGAGAACTAGATGCTGCGTGCCATATATTGCCAGTCATGAATATGTCCTTTGCAGATTTAAGAGATGGATATGGTTGTAGTATTGATAAACAAATTTGATTAAAAGTTTTTGCATCCATGGCACAAAGGCCTGCCTAAGTGGATCCCTTCCAAAACCATTTTCATAATGCAAGTAATATTCATGGATACAACACCAGATATGCTTCCCAACAAAAGTTATGTAAACCTTAAGTGTGCAATAACTCTAGAAAACAAACAGTTGTCTATTTAGGAAGTAATCTTTGTGAAAAAATCATTCTAGACTTATTATAACTTAAAATCTTCAATTTCTCTGAGCAACACTCTGAACATTTGCTTTAATATCTACCTTGTAAGTATAGTTCTGTTCTCCCTCATTTGTTTAATCTAAGCAACTTAAGTGAACTGGAAGCTGATTTGAAAACAGCTATTTACCCTCCTGGCTCCTCATTTGTACTATTTCTCAGTGTTCTAAGTAATTTGTATTTTAAATTTGTAGTGTATGACAGTGTCTACAGTATTATACGTCATGAATAAAAAAATGGTCACTGAGTCACTAGGAACTGAGACCAACAATTTCAAACCTTAAATACAACTACCAGCCAGAAGAAGGAAGTAGTAGTAGAAGTAGGAAACAAAAATTTGTTTCATACGAAATTTATATAGGCAGCTATACATAAAAGTTAGTAAATTGAAATAACTAAGTGAAAAAATCTTTGTAAAAGTGAAAAAAGAGAACTAGATGCTGTGTGCAATACATGCAAATCAGTCGATAGCTAAGAAAATGAAAGCTGACCCTGATGAAATGACAGAGAATCCTGATGAGGGACTTCAGGTTCCAAAGAACTACTTGGAAGTCTTTACTGACGGTCCTGCCACAAAACCAGAAGTGTCAGCGCCCACACAAGCAGAAATGGAAAAGTTTTATTTTACCACAGCAGTGGAGAAGTTTCTCATTTACATCGTCAGACAAAATGTTTTCATACCAAGGGATCTTGTTAAGGTAGCTCAAAAAGCTTTGAGGATCGTAGTGCTTATAGCTCCTAGCGACAACGTAAGCAGCCGGTGGCTTGAGCATCCTTAGATTTAACACAGCAAAGACTAAATAATGATCACTGATGTGAGTCTCTACTATACCGCTATCCACAGTTATGGCCGGGTTTGAAGTAAAAATGATATCAATCAGAGTTTTAGATGTTTCCGTCAATCTTGTGGGCTGGGTAATAAGCTGCTTCATATTCAGACTTGTACATAGGTTGTATAATGTTTTTGATTTAGAAGAACTAACGATCAAATCACAGTTGAGATCTCCGACCACTAGAATAGGTAGGCCATAAACAAGCGCTTGCGTGTAACGTTCCCTGAAGTCTTCAAAGCAGGAAATATCACAATCAGGAGGCTTGTAAGAGACGCACAGCAAGAGTGAATTGAGCGTTTTGTGCTGAACTTGCATCCATAATTGTTGAGAAACCAGTGTCTGATATTCCGGATAGGTCTTTAAGTACTTTAGACTTCAATGTCTTGTGCATGTACACGCACACCCCACCACCAAACTCATTCTTTATGTTTCTCGGTCTGTCCAGTCTTGGCAAACTGTATCCGTCAATTTCGACCTCAGTGTTCTTTACACTTGAATTTAGCCAAGATTCTGAAATGCTAAGATTGCACACTTCTTTTCATCCATTAAGTTACTCACTTGAATCAAATGCTCTCTTGTCTTCAATGATCGTACGTTCAAGTGTGCCACGATTATTTTTGATTTCTGAGAATTATTTCCATTGATTGTTGAATGCAAGGTCCCATGGGAGGTTGTCTTAGCTGCAAAGATGTCGACTGGAATATTTAATAAGTTACTTTGGTTTGCACCACGCCGTTTCTCTTGGAAGTTTTGCTGACACTCTACACGAATAC